TACATTTCATAAAATGGAATCTTACTAATATGTGGCCTTTCACTAAGCATAGTATGTTCAAGGTCCATTCATGTTGCATCATACAATTAATAGTACTTCATTCCTTTGTATTACCAAATAATATTTCATTGCTTACTCATTTTGTTTACCCTTTCATCTGGTGATGGGCATTTGAGTTGTTTTCATTTTTTTTGGCCATCATGAATAAGTTTCTGTGTACATTCCTATACAGGTTTTTGTGTGGACGGATGTTTTCAGCTCTTTTGGATTGTACTTAGGAGTGTAATTGCGGAGTCATATGATAGATAACTCCATGTTAAACATTTTGAGGAACTACTGAATTGTTTTTCAAAGTTGATGCATATGCATTTTACAGTCCCATAAGCAGTGTCAGAGAGTTCTAGTTTTTCCATATGCTTATCAACAGTTGTTATTATCTGTTTTATTTTAGCCATCTTACAAGTTGTGAAGTGATAATTAATTGTGGCTTTGATTTGTATTTTCCTAGTGACTAAAGATATTGAGCCTCTCTTAATGTGTTCATTGGCTATTTGTTATCATCTTTTGATGAAATATCTATTAAGTCCTCTTTCCATGTTTAAGTTGAGTTATTTGTCTTTTTATTATTGAGTTGTAAGGGTTCTTTATATATTCTATATATAGGTCCCTTATCAGATATATGATTAGTAAGTATTTTCTTCCATTTTGTGAATTAAATAGATGGAAAAAATTTCCTTTGAAACACAAATTTTAAGTTTTGATAAAACCTGTATTGTTTATTTTTTCTTTTGTCTTCTCTGCTTGTAATGTCATTCATATCTATGACACCATTCCCTAGTCTATTGTTACAAAGATTTACTCCTGTGCTTTCTTTTAAGAGTTTTATAGTTTTGGCTCTTACCTTTAGATTTTTGATCCATTTTTAGTTAATGTTTATATATGGTGCGAGGTATGGATTCAACTTCGTTCTTCCGCATGTGGATATCTATTTGTCCAAGTACCATTTATTGAAAATACAATTGTTTCCTCCACCAAGTTGCCTTGGTACTCTTGTCAAAACAGGTTGATCATAAACATAAGGGTTTATTTCCAGACACTTAATTCTTACTAGGCCTTTAATCTCTAATCCATGTGTGTCATCCTTCTGCCAGTACTTGATTACTATGACTTTGTAGTAAATTTTGAAATTTGGAAGTGTGAATTCTCTAACTTTCCTCTTATTTTACAAAATTATTTTGGCTATATTAGGTCCGTTGCTTTTCCATATGAAATTTATGATCAGCTTACCAATTTCTGGGGGAAAATGTTACCAGCTGAGATTTAATAGAAATTGTTTAAATCTGTAGATAAATTTGGGGAGTGCTGCTATCATGCTAATACTAAATCTTCTGATATATGAGCATGAGATTTCTTTTCATGCATTTAGATCCTATTCTTTAATTTCAACAATGTTTTATAGTTTAAAGTGTACAAGTTTACACATTTTTTGTTAAATGCAATCCTAAGAATTTTATTTTTTTTAATAATATTGTTAGTGAAATTGTTTTCTTCATTTTGGGATTGTTCATTTTTATTTATAGAAATACAATTGTCTTTTATTAGTTGATTGTGTATCTTGCAACCTTATTGAACTAGTTTATTAGTTCTAATAACTTTTTGTGGATTCATTAGGATTTTCTATGAATAAGATGATGTTATCTGTGATTGGAGATAACTTTCCTTCTTTCTTAACAATTTGGGCACCTTTTATTTCACTTTCTTGACTAATTTATTATTTTTTTTCATGAGCAGTTTTAGCCAATTATATTTTTTTAGGTGCTTGTCTTTCCTTTCAAAATTCAAATTTATTAGCATAAACTTTTTCATGATAGTCCATTATTTAAATCTGTGCTCTTCTCTGTAGTAACAATGGCTCTTTGCTTTATTCCTAAGCCTGTTTATGATGATTTCTGCTTGCTTTCTTTTCTTACATCCTTTTATGTATGAGATTTATCTTTTTAAAAATGTTTTAACTTTATGAAATACAATATACATGTAGAAAAGCATACAAATATCAAGGATACAGATACATGGATTTTCAAACTGAATAAATGGTAAAGTCAGCACCTAAATTTAGAGACAGAATATTATCAATACCTCAGCGACTCCCAACATGCCCTCATCGAGTCACTCCCTGGAACCAACAGGATAACCCATCTTGATTTCTAAATGTAGACAGCAGTGAAAATTGTTTCTACTTTATGTAAATGAAGTAATACACTGTGTACTTATTTGTGTCTAGCTTCTCTCAGTTGACATTTTCTTATTATCGCCATCCATTTTGTTGTGTGTCATTGTAGGCGATTTATTCGCACTACAAAATACCTTCCATTGTGTTCATATACTACGGTGTGTAAGTTTTCTGATCCTAATAGACATTTGGTACTTTCCACTTATGGACTATTATGATTGGATAAACATGTGTACACATTTCTTTTGGGTATATACCTACAAGTGAAATTGCTAGATCCATAGCATATGTATATGACAGCTTCAGGATATATTGCCAAACATATTTCTAAAGCAGTTGTACTAATTTATACTCCCATCAGCCATGTATAAGAGCTCCATCTGCTCCACATCCCCACTGACCCTTGGCGTTTTTTGTGTTTTCCATCTTTGCCATTCTGGTAAGCATGTAGTTGGAACTGTTTCGATTATTTTTAAATATTTGGGTTCCCCCCCTACTTTTTAGTGGTGATTTCTAATTGAATTACATTGTGAACAGGGAATATGGTCTACACAATAGATTATCAGTTGTAGCTTATTTCATGGTCCTGTGTACATGGCTGTTTTCATAGATACTTCATTATGTAACGGGAAGAGACATTGTTTTCCAGGGGTTGAATGTCGAGTTCTATATGTGTTGATTGGATTTAAGCTTGTTCATTTGGTGTTTAAATTGTATCCTGGCTTTCTCTCACACTTTATCAATTACTTAGAATCTTATGTTAAAAATCTCCCATTCTAATAATGGATTCAATTTCTCCTTGTATATGTTAATTTGTGTTTTCTATATATCTGAGACTTGTGTTTGTAGATGCATAGAAGTCTAAAACTGCTCTTTCTTGTTCATAAATTGAACGATTTTTAGTGTTTTGTGTGCCTCTTTAAATTTTAAGCTTTTTGCTCTAAAGAATATTATGCCCAATACTAAACTAATTACTTCCTTTTGGTTATCATTTTCTTATTATACCTCAGGTGCCTAGAATTGGATTAAAAACTACAAGCTCTCATGACTGGTCCATGCATGCGCCACTTTTATTCATTTAGTTAGTTATTATAAATAATGTGAAAACATCCATGAAACTACCTCCTAAAACAAAAGATAGGACTTAGACAGTAATCCTCATCAAACATTTGGCTCCTATGCCTCCCCTCAGCTGAGGATAACTATCATCATGAATCTATACTCTATATTGTTCATTCCTTCCTTTTTAATATATCATTTTATTGCACCTGTGTGTATATTCCTTGAAACACTTTCAATTTTGATTGTTTTTATGGAAAGGGGATTGTGTTGTATATAATTTTAAGAGCTTCTTTTCCCCCTTAATCTAAGTTTGTTAATATTTCTTCATATTGGGTCACCTGGTGGCTCAGTTAGTTAAGTGTCTACTCTCAATTTCGGCTCAGGTCATGATCTCACGGTTTGTGAGATCGATCCCTGCACAGAGCCTGCTTGGGATTCTCTGTCTCCCCTTCTCTCTGCTCCTCATTGTGCATGCATGCATGCACTCTTTCTCTCTCTTTTTCAAAATAAATAAACATTAAAAAAAGATTCATATTTTGCACATCACCATGTTTCTTGCATTTTGACTGTTGTGTGATATTCATCCACTCTTTGATGGGCATTTAGGTTGTTTCTGGGTGTTTTCTATTTGAAAGTACTGCTGTCTTTATTATACATATCTATTATACATATCTTTTTTATTATACATATACTATATGTAACATGTACATATTATACATATCTGTGCATACATATATGCACATATGCAAGAGATCTGGGTTACTGGGTCCTAGAGTATGTGAAGGTTCAGTATTAAAAGATAATTCCAAAGTGTTTTCCCAAGGGTTTCACCGATCTACATTCATGTCAGATCCTGTGGATTGACTTCCTCTCCAGCATTTGGTATTGTCAGATTTTTTACCTTTTATCAATGAAATGAGTATAAAGCAATATCTCTTTGTGGTCTTTATTTGTATTTCTCTAATTGCTAGTGAACACTGAACACCTCTTCTTGTGTTTATTGACTATGTATTTTCTCGTTTGGGAAAGTCTGTTTATATCTCCCAAGCATATTTCTGTTGAGTTCACTGTGATTTTATTATTGAATTTTAGGAAAGTTTTTATGTGCTCTTGATACCCATGTTCTTCAGTTGTGTTGCAAACCATTGTTAATGTTAACAAACCAATGTTAAAAACCATTCTGGTTTTTATTTTGCATTTTTATATTTTTTAAAGTGTTTTTTGATTAGCAGCCATTTTTCATTTTAACATAGTCAAACTGATTCATCCTGTATAATTAATAATCATTTACAATTAATGGTTTCATATTTTGGTTAAGAAAATTTTTTGCTCCAAAGACTAAAGGGTATTCACCTATACTCTCTATTTAGAGTTAAAAACAAATTATTTTTAACATTTAATTCCTTATATCATCCAGAGTTATTTTTATGCTATATGGTAGAGATTCAATTTCATTATTTTCTATAGGAATAGCCATTTCCCTCCCGGTCAATCCCTTAATTTCCCACTAATCTCACATGCCAACTCTGTCATGCACCACATTTCCATATATGTATGGATCTACTTCTGGCCATTGTTTTATTCCGTCAGTCACTCGTCTGTTCTTGTACCAGTAGCATACTGTCTTGCATCTTTAAAGGATCACTCTGGCTATTATAACATAACTTTCAAGAGAGTTGATCATTATTTGTTATTTCTGCAATTTTAGGTATATTACAGCTAATACTGACACAGAAGAGCAGAGTTTTCCAGTCCCTAAGGCATTTAACACACACGTAGAGGAATTAAATTTAGATGTCCTTCTTCAGAAGGTTGATAATTTACGTATGAATGAATCTAGCAAGATGGAGAGTTTTGAACTACTTTGTGACCACAAAGAAAAGGTAAGAGATGAGATAATAGCATCTGTATGATTTTAATTTTTATTTAATCTGCTGTCCCATTTATGTTATAACCATAACAGTTGGGTTAGTTTACACAAGCCAAATGGTGGATGCAAAATTTTTCCATAATCTAAACTTTAAAAAAGTAAATATAAGAGTTTATTATGCTCTAAGATCATGAAAATGAGAACCAGAGATATGATTATACAGTTTTATTTTTATTTGATTTTTATCCATTTGTTGTATTTAACACATACCCAAACATAAAGAATAAGACATACTTCTCTTGGGGCAAGAAAAAAACTACATTTTAAGTTTTCTGTCTTGTAGTTATTAATGTAACAGCTATCAGTATTTCATTCTGTTTCTACTAATGGTCATTTTTCAATGTTTAACATTGGGCTGAATTGGGAAAGCCCATCCTTCCTACTACAACCACCTTAAAAGAAAAAGAAAAGAGAGAAAGAAGGGCAGAGAGAGAGGGAGGGAGGGAGGGAGAAACAGAGGAAGGGAGGTAGAGAGGGAAAGGTTCTCAATATTTCAGTGAGCAATACATCTTTCTTTCCCATGAACAATTTAAATCCTTTGTCTGAGGCTCTAGCAACTCTAAACAGATTGTTTAAAAGTTTTTAAACCTCCAGCATTATGATTATAATTATAGGTAATGTAGGTTAAAAATGTGACTGTTCTTTGAGTATATGGGATCTCTAATGCTCACTGAGGCATCATATCGAGGGTCGTTACCTTAGAAATAAGAAGAAGATAATACAACCAGTGAAAACTTAAAAATTCTGGTACCTCTCAATTCTCTCTTCCATGTTGGCGTAGAGGTAGAGTCGGGATGACATTCATTAGTTTTGAGATTCAAATGTAACACTATTAAATCACTTTTTGTAGCCTGAATATTTTGAATTAAAATGTTATATATACATGACTAAATTCAGTCATCTATAAGTACCAGTTCACCTGCCCAATTTGTTAAAAGGTGTAGTGGAAAACATTTATAGTTTCATCAAGTGACTGAGTTAATCTAATGTACAGTGTTATCTTTTCAGTTTAGAGATGAAATAGAGTTTATTTGGAGGTTTGCTCGTGCTTATGGAGACATGTATGAGCTATCTACTAATGCACAAGAAAAGAAACATTATGCTAATATTGGTAAGTATTTTATAAAGATTGATTTTTCTCAAGTGACAGTTGTTATCTATAATAACCCATTAATGAATTTTAATTAAAGCCAAATTATCTTAAGCTAAAACCAATATGTTTAATCTATTTTATATGTTCTAGTACTGGAAAATACACATAGTCTAAGGACAGAAAGTTTTTTTTAGGACTAAGATATATATTCTTTTTTTAAAATTTTTAATGTTTTATTTATTTTTGAGAGAGAGATAGAGACAGCATGAACAGGGGAGGGTCAGAGAGAGAGGGAGACACAGAATCTGAAGAGAAGCCCAGGCTCTGAGCTAGCTATCAGCACAGAGCCTGATGTGGGGCTCAAACCCACGAACCGTGAGATCATGACCTGAGCCAAAGTCGGAAGCTTAACCAAAGTCGGATGCTTAACCAACTGAGACTCCCAGGTGCCCCAGATATATATTCTTTAAAAATGTTTGAGCATATTAGAATAGACAGCCAAAAAACTCAGATTTCAGATACTAAAGTTTATGACAGAAAGATAATTAGGTAACATTTGAGGAGCAGGAAGACTCAGTGGATGGTTGTCTTCAGCACAATTAAAATACCCCTCCTTGATTCCTGTAAGGGAGAACTGCATGTGCTACAAAGAGATAATTACTTGAACTTCATTGTGTGTTTGTTTTTTCAAAATTTATCTCCAGAAAACAAGATTAGCCTTGAGTTGATCATTGTTTGAGTGATACAGTACATGATGGTTCATGCTACTGTCCTCTACCCTTTTATGCATATTTTTGAAATTTTCCATCATAACAACATGGTAACAGCCAGAATGTCAAAGCTTTTGTACATATATGTCTCTGCCACTGAATCTCAAAAGTCTTTCTTGTACAAAGCCCCTTAACTGCCATTTCTCTGAGCCTCGGTGTAGTAATCTGACATCAAACTTCCTTAATTTCTCCCTTTATTCCAAACCTTCTCTTTTCCAAGCTTTCTTTCTTTAAGTTAGCATGAGGAAGAAACAGCAAGAAAATAATGATACTGCAGATCTCATTCCACTCTTGTTCCTTGTCATTTTTTTTTGTCTCCAAGAAGGAAATATTTCCAAACTCCTTGTAATTCTATTCCTTCTACTTGTAGATTTCCTTGTGCAGTGACTTCTGCCCCATATTCATCATCAGCTTTGTGGGGCAGTTTTTCTGTAGTGATCCATCTTGTAGGCCATATACAACATGGAATTCTATGGCAAACCATGAGAGACTCTTGAATGCTGACAAAAACTGAGGACTGATGGATGTGGGGGGAGGGGGGGATGGGCATGGAGGAGGGCACTTTGGGGATGAGCACTGAGTGTTATGTGGAAACTAATTTGACAATAAACTATTTGTTAAAAAAAAACAACATTCTAGAGGTTTATTAACTCTAGGGTACATAAAAATTTAAAAAGCAGATTTATTTTCATATCTACTGAGAAAATCAGGTCTAGCTGTGTAAACTGCTAAAGTATGAAAGACTTTTTATTGCCCGTAAGCACCTGCCCTACCCTGGGCATCAAGGTTCATCCTGTGTGTGACTGCAGAGGAGCTGATGGCTTTGTGGGGGAAGCAGTAGTATTGAAATAACCACACATTATAAAGAAACAAATGGAAATACATCGCAAGTTGAGGAGAATGCAGGGTGTTATGAGTAATCCCAGAAAGGATATTATAGCAGGGGCTGGGGGTTGATGCAGGAAGTCTTTCCTGTGGAAGGAAGAGTTTCCATACGTGAAATTACTTGGGATCTTTAGTTTTAAATGGAGTAAAAGCTTAATTGAGTTCATGGAAGAGGTGATAAAAATGGAAAAAGAAATGGGCTGGAAGAAACCTGGGGATGAAAATGGAGATCGGAATAGGATATATCTTAAAAAACGAGAAACGTTTATAGTGTCAAGAAAAATGAGTAAAAGCCTACGATGTAGTCTATTCATTCACATATTGAGGTATATTAAAAACAATTCTTTTTTTTTATCCATTAGGGAAATATTTATTTGAAATTACTGTGTCCAGGAACAATGTTAAAATGAAGGGTGGAGAGAGGGAGAGAAGGGAGAGAGGAATGAGGTAAATGTGATTAAGACGGAGCCACGGTTGAGCGTCAAACTTCAGCTCAGGTCATGATCTCACAGTTCACGGGTTCGAGCCCCTCATTGGGCTCTGTGCTGAGAGCCAGCTCAGAGCCTGGAGGCTGCTTCAGATTCTGTGTCTCCCTCTCTCTCTGACCCTCCCCTGCTCATGCTGTCTCTCTTTCAGAAATAAAAAACATTAAAAAAAAAAAAAAAAAGACGAAGCCACACTATGGAACTTGCTAGACAGATCAACATGGAGCCAGCCCATTATACTTCAGTGTTCGGGTAGTAAGTGCTTAGGAAAGGTAATGACAGAGTGGGCTAGAGCTGAGACCAGCGCTGGGGGGCCCTGGAACTCAGTGTAAGGGAGGAGGAAGGGCTGACTGGTTTTCCCCATAATAACATATTTAAAATTGTTATCTGAAGGCATGATTTGGTCACTGGAGAAGCACAGAATTCTTTAATAAAACTCAGGATGGGGTGTAGCATTATGCAGTGTGTCTTTTGAAGTACCCGTAATTTGTATTCCAAGTAAACTATGAATCTTTTATCTAAAGGAACGTTATTATAATTTCCAGAATTAAGCCATCAATACAGGTGCCTCAAATAGATCACAAAGTACCATTTTGTAAGTGAAACTGCCTTCCTTTCAGACTTCAGCTGCATAAATGAGTTTGCAAAACCAGCCTGCGTATGACTGACCCAGCTTCCAGTTGTGTTCTCAGGGTGATGGCCTCTCCTCTATTTTGGGCTGGTGGTTGTACATTAAAAGCTATTTCTGTCCATTTGGCAAAGTAGCTACAACATTGATCTCATTATTAATGTTTGTACATTTAAAACTACTTATGTTTTTCACATGTTTATTTAAAAAAAATTACTCTTTAGGGGCTCCTGGGTTATTCAGTCGGTAAAGCATCTGACTTCAGCTCAGGTCATGATCTCATGGTTGGTGGGTTCGAGCCCCACTTCAGGCTCTGTGCTGACAGCTCAGAGCCTGGAGCCTCCTTCAGATTCTGTGTCTCCCCCTCTCTCTGCCCCTCTCCTGCTTGTGCTCTGTCTCTCAAAAATAGATTAATGTTGAAAATTTAAAACGAAAGTCACTCTTTTAATGTATGTCTACAATGTAATGTCAGCTAGCATTAATAAACTTCACTTTTTAATTTTTTCCAGTTTAGGTAGATTTATACATGAGATATTTCCCTTAATGGATAGAGCTATAAAACCCAAAGTGTCCCACCTTAACAAATTAACAGCTAGAATGGTTTCAGAATTAAAGGTCCTTATTTATAAAGATGATCTCAACCACTTATTTAGAAGAGCATTTTGCAGATCACTGGATATGCTCTTCAAGGCCACCACAACAGCAAAAAGGGAGCAGGGTAAAAGGAGATGGTATAAAATGAAGCAGCTCCTTTTTAAGAAGGATTTTTGGAACGTTGTTCAGTTTCGTTGCAAGCATTACGATTTTTCAGGCCGATAGCTAAACGTCTATCCAAAGTAATTATGACATTATGAAAAGTTATTCTAAAACTAAGGGAGATGATTTGGGAGGGTTATGTATGTATCGAGCCTGTTCATCTTTGTGCACGGTTAGGTATGCACTTCTCTGGGAAACCTTCCCTTTAGATGGGGTTCTCTCCATCTCAACACTCAGTTCTCTAACACGCTCTCTCGTTTTTTTCATCTTGCTTTTAGTTTTTACGTGCAATCTGCTTGCTTATGTACCTGCTTTCTACTGAACTGTGAACCCTTGGAAGTCAAAAGCTGTGTCTTAATTTGACTTTTTATTCCCAGAGATTATGATAGGACACTCAGAAGGCACACAGTAAATGTTGGTCAATTATAAAACAATTTTTATTAATGCTTTTAAATAATGATTGCATGACTTCCACTTGGTTATATCGCTTAGTCCAATGAGCTGAAAACCTGAGCATTCATCAGAATCTCTAGAGGCCAGTTAATACAGATTGCTGAGCCCACAGTTTGTTGTAGAGTAGGTCTCTCTTACAGCCAGAAATTTGCTTTTCTGTAATTGGTACTTCTGGTCTTGGGACCATATTTTAGGAACCACTGACTTAATTCAGTAATCTACCCCCACCAACTCACATGAAGGTACTAAATGTAAGCCCATTTGTCTTTCAGGGAAGACATTGGGGGAAAAAGCTATTACTAGAGCACCCATGAATGGTCATTGTCATCTGTGGTAAGTACGTAGAACTTACGCAGTCTTTTAAAATTCTCACATGCCTCTATATGTTACAATAGATTTTCAAGATATTATCGACCCATTTAAGCTGTCAGTCACATTCACCGAAAAAGATATTTAGTAGATAGCACAGTAACTATTCTTAGTCTCATGTATTTTACAGTATGTATATTTTAAATGTATTCAAGGTAAACTTTCATTGAAGATTTCCTAAGTGAATCTACTAAGTTCAGTGCCTTTGAACATGAAATCCTAATTATATGTGATTTACTATTTTTTTTGAAAACAAATACTAAAGTGATGCTATGCTTCTAAATGAAATGTGGAAAGAATGCTTCACAGAATAAAAGCATGTCACTCATTTTTTATACCTTAATAAGTTCATGTATACGAATGCTATAGGTCACAGAGAAGTCATTTGTAATATAGGAAAGCTCAAACAAAGAGAATTTAATTCGTTGGATGGGTGTAGCTGAATGCCCTTGGGGAAACAAATTTATTCTTGAGTACATTTTATTTTGGATCCTTTGTTTAGAAGTATAAAACACAAGAAGAAATATATTTTTTTAATTTTTTATTTATTTTTGAGAGAGAGAGAGAGGCAGCGTGAGCAGCGTGATTCTGTGCCTTCCTCCTCAGAGAGAGAGGAAGGCACAGAATCAGAAGCAGGCTCCAGGCTCTGAGCTAGCTGTCAGCACAGAGGCCAACGCGGGGCTGGAACCCATGAACCGTGAGATCATGACCTGAGCCGAAGTCAGACGCTTAACTGCCTGAGCCACCCAGGCGCCCCTGAAATATATTGTCTTTAATTAACACTTTGTAGTTGTGTTTTTACGACATTTTTTAGTTCCTAGCAGCAATACAGGTAGTTCAGGTGCTAGGAGGATAAGTGTAATAAATTAATTTATGACCCCTCTCTCAGACCTCGGTTTCCAGAAATCCAACCCTCTAAGGAAGTATTTTATTCTTCGGGAGCACTTTTAGGCAGAATCTCTCTCAAACTGGCTTCCCTTCTGTAGGTCTGCATTTGCCCCACGGGAAATTCTGTTTACTCCAACGAACTTTCAAGTGCGAACCTGTTTATTTACTCTGCTACCAGCAGGGGGAGCTCCACCCACACTGTCCTCTTCAAGCTTCTCTGGTTAGGAGTCACGGGACATTTTTTTCTGTCCCTCAGGAGACACAGTCCAAAATAAAAATACATCTTTTGACCTGCCTTCAGTTTGCTTAAGATGAGGTGCAAGGTTGCCCCCTGCCCTCTTCATGAGGGAGTGGGAGGTGGAAGCCACAGCCCCCCGCCCCCCCCAACAATTCTATCCACAGGAATTCTCACTCCTCTACCTCCCACTAGGAGAAAGGTAGTTTTGTATTTAGCATCTTAGCATCTTAGTACATAACTTTAAGATCATTTTCCCAGGTTATGGGGGTGTTGGCTATTATTTCTATGACCAAATTTACCTTCTCATCTAGTTAGCACATTAATATTAATAAATTAACATATATATGCATTAAGGTACTTCCTTTCTTCCACTTTTAGTGGTGACTATAATGAACTTGTATTGATCAAGCCACACTGTCTTCATTTCCTTTTTAATATTGGGACTGTTTGGAAGCTAATTGGCTGGATTTAGAGGCAGAAAAAGCATCCAAGCCCTCCTCTTAACTCTGATCTGCTCCCCACTCAACCCCCCACCCCCACCCCCCGGCCTTGTTCTTCTCTGTGGTCGTTTTCCTTCTCCCACACATAGGACTGCATCCATGAAGGGTCACATTTAAAATGTACAGTAGGTTTTCTGGGCGCCTGGGTGGCTCAGTCAGTTGAGCATCTGACTTCTGCTCAGGTCATGATCTCATGGTTCATGAGTTCAAGCCACGCATTGGGCTCTGTGCTGACAGCTCAGAGCCTGGAACCTGCTTTGGATCTGGTATCTCCCTCTTTCTGCCTCTCTCACGCTCTGTCTGTCTGTCTCTCTCAAAAACATTAAAAATACATAAATAAAATGTACAGTAGATTTTAATCCTCAATTTGAGGGCATTTATCAGTGTGAGCTCCCAATTTTCATGGAGGAAGAATGTTGAGCCTTCTCTGGGGGCTTCAAAATTACCTTGAAATCCATCTTGTTAGAAGACATTATATGTAACTCTCTCCTAGCAGGTGACCCAGTCTGTCTTACACTAATCTGGCTGTTTTTCTTTTGTTCATCTTTTTCACTTTTTGTTATGAACAGATTGCCTTGTTTATAACTATGGGGTTTGACTCTAGGGTTAAATCTTATCAACACACACACACGTGGAGTAATGATCCAATTGTGTTGCACACAAGCATCTTATTCAGTATCAGTTTGTAATTTAAAAATATTAAAATCTAATTAGTTGATAAAATTTAATTCATTCAAATGACAATTTTATCTTAATTCTTAGAGTGTATTATAATGTAGGTCGTGAATACAAGAGTTCTCATCCAATTAAATAGCAGCGTTTAGGGTAATGAGAAAAAGGAGAAATTAAAACTTTGACTTGAGAAGCAATGGTTAAAATTCAGGTTAACTGAGTCCATAATTAATTGTAATAAAGCATTACAAAAAGGTCTTTGTCAGTATGTTTAGACATTTTCTCATTCACTCGGCATAAATGAAAAACTCTGACCCAGACCAACGCCTATTTTTATAAATAGTTTTACTGGTACACAGCCCTGTCCATGTGTTTGTCCATAGCGGTAAAGTACAGTGGTCGCGACCTTGACTGTCTGACCCCAAAGCCTAAAATGTTTGCTACCTGGCCCTGTAGCACAACTTGGCAGATCCGTGATTGAAAGGGTTATGCGATAGTTTATAAGCTTCAGTTTGAAGTAAAAGATTCAGTCTTTAGGAATAAGTATCAGAAAGGATTAACATCGAGGGAATGGTTGAAAAACAAATATCATTTTAAGACTTGCTTTCCATCTTCATCTTTTCCAAAAAGCTTTGACACTTTAAATCTTCATAAGCTATCTGCAAAAATGTTATTTTTGTTGAACCGGCCGAAGATACTTCTAGAATCAAGAGAGTAAAGTCACTGTGGCTTTGTAGTTTGTCAACCCTATAGGCCTGACCATAATTACAAATAATATCTTACATATTTGTCATGCTCTACTGTTCACAAATTATATCCACATGCCTTACAGCAAGTGATTTACAGGACGATGTGTTTCCATTTTAGAGGTCAAGATGAGCAAGGTTGTGTATAGGAGGTGGGTGTGGGGGGGAATAGGTTGTTAGTAAGCAAGGGTCACATGGTAAGTAGAAAAACAAAAACCAGATCTTTTATTAGTATATACTCAGTATTCTATTACAGTATTCTTCCTCTGCTTTCTCACAGTATAAATAGCATTTGCGCTGAGTCCAAAGTACTGCAGGGAAACTAATGGAGTTATTTTAGTAGTTGTCGAAACAGGAATGTTTGTCATTTAGTAAAGATGTATTCAATATCAATGCAAAGCAAATACAGAATTTTTGTCAAAGCATGTATGGTGAGAATGACCTCTAGATGGAGGCAAAGGCTACATTGTGAATTTACGTTCTTTGGCGTTTCCATCAACTTGAGATGGTTTGTGAAATAAGATTTTAAATTACATTTTTTAAGATGAACAATATAAAAGAAGAGAACACACACACACACACACACACACACACACAAGTCGAACTAATTGCCAGAAAAGAAGTGATGATCTTTTGGGGAAAAAAAGTGGTCAGGTGAACTTTGAATTTATGATATGTAGGACGATAAATATTTTAGACTTTAAAGAAAAAGACTTCAAATGGATTGTGAAAATCATAAGACTGTATGACAGATTATTTATAAGGAAAATATGCAGGCTTCGTGCAATGGTATTCATAAGTCTAGTTTTTTTGTTTTTTTTTTTTTCCTGTTTCTCCTTGCTCAGAGTAAGTTGGAGAGAAAGTGCTGAGAGAGCACTATACATGCCTCGAGATGTGCGTCACGTCAGTCTGATGCCGGTGTTCAGAAAATAGATGATTGATCCCACCACTCTAGATCAGTGACCATAGGTTCTTTTCTTTTGATCCCCGGACAAATGTTTCATTGTTCCATAAATCTCTGGCTGAGAAAGTCCAAACAGACCCAACAGATTTTTCTAAACATGTGATATGGGGTTTTTTTTTCTTTCTTTCTTTGTCAGTATAGAGAGTAGGGAAATTGAACTAGTATTTATGTGAATTTAAGCAAGGCAGCAAGGTCAATTTACTTCCAACATTCTTGTAGACAAGATATAGAAATGTGGGCAAGCCTCTGGGTTACCCATTTTGAGAGAAGGGGTTAAGCCAGAGTTATTCAACAGAATAACTGTTGGTAACATCATTGTTGCCATCATTGGCCTTTTACCTCTCTCTCTCTGTATATATATGTGTGTGTATAAGTGCTGGTGAGAATGTGGAGAAGTTGGAAGCTTTTTACCTGTGAAATGAATGAAAAATAGAGTAACTGTTATGGAAAACAGTATGGGAACTCCTCAGAAAATTATAAATAGGACTACCATATGATGCAGCAATCCCATTTCTGGGTATACATCCAAAAGAACTTAAATAAGGATCTCAAAGAAATAGCACTCTTATGTTCATTGCTGCATTGTTCACAATAGCCATGGTATGGAAACAATCTAAATGTCCAGCAGCACATGAATGGATGATCCCAGGCTTCCACATCCGTATCTTAGACATTAGGGTGTTCCGTAATTTTGTCAGTGGGTGAAGATATAATAAGGATGCCGTAAGAGTTGTGAGTAACGCAGAATCATGAGGAGTAGAGTGTATGATGGATGACAATAGCAATTCAAAAGATTTTCATGTTAAAAAAAAAAGATTTTCACATGTGTGAATGAATAGAGATAAAGGTGGGGGAGGGATGGAATGAGAAGTGTCAAAATTAAATTTAGGGAAAAACATGATAATTTGAATAAAGTGGGGACTTTAGCTAATAATAACATATTAATTATGGTACATTGTGAAAATTACATATCTTGTTTGACAGTATTGGTACAGTTGTGATAAATGTACTGTAGTAATTTAAGACATACACAGTAGAGAAAACCGAATATGGGTATACGGGAACTCTCTCTATTGTCTTTGCAACTTTTCTATAAATCTCAAGCTATTTTAAAATAAAATCTTATTGGGGCGCCTGGGTGGCTCAGTCGGTTAAGCGTCCAACTTCGGCTTAGGTCATGATTTCATGATTCGTGGGTTCGAGCCCCGCATCAGGCTCTGTGCTGACAGCTAGCTCAGAGCCTGGAGCCCGTTTCAGATTCTGTGTCTCCCTCTCTCTTTGACCCTCCCCTGTTCACACTGTCTCTCTCTCTCTCTCTCTCTTTCTCTCTCTCAGAAATAAATAAAACATTAAAAAAAATTTTTAAGAAAATAAAATAAAATAAAAGCTTATTGGGGTGCCAGGGTGGCTCAGTCTGACTTGGGTTCAGGTCATGATCTCGTGGTTTGTGAGTTCGAGTTCCACACTGGGCTCTGTGCTGACAGCTCAGAGCCTGGATCCTGATTCAGATTGTGTGTGTGTCTCTCTCTACTGCTTGCCTATTCACACACACACACACACACACTCTCTCTCTCTCAAAAATAAATAAACATTAAAATTTTTTTTAAATAAATAAAAGCTTATTTTTTTTTATACAGTGGCTTAAGGTTTTAAGTACAAATGATGCCCATAAGAGAAATGGGGAAATTGGGGGATGCAGCTGTGGAGAATTTTGCTCCACTTTCTGGAACTCCCTGGGAGGAATGATAAAACAGAATGACAGAGAGAATTTCAAAAGAACATGGTGCAGCCAGAAGTGACAATAGCAGTTTTACAGGAGAACTCATAAGTCCAGTAATCTTTTCCTACAAGCTTAGTCACTGGTGGGCACAGAGAGGTATGTGACATGCAGTGTGATTGTAGAATTTCTGAATAGTAATGCCTCCTAATCTGGTTAAGTTCTCAGATCACTTCTGTAGGTTGATTTAGTCATCATTATTTCTGCTGTTGCAGATTTGGTTGATTATGTAGAAACTGAAAATTAAGAGGTCAAAAATGTCATAACGGAAAAGTGACCATTTTATTGTTTGTCAGAAGTTGTGCGAATTGTGATCTTTTGTGTTCAGGAATAGTCTTACTATTCCAAATTAAGAAAATTGTTCATTTAAAAATTTTTTAATTTTTTTTTTTTCTGAGAGAGAGAGAGAGAGAGAAACAGCATGAGCAGGGAAGGGTCAGAGAAAGAGGGAAATACAGAATCCAAAACAGGCTCCAGACTCTGAGCTGGCTGTCAGCACAGAGCTCGATGCCGGGCTCGAACCCATGAACTGTGAGATCATGACCTAAGCAGAAGTCGGACGCTTAACCAACTGAGCCACCCAGGTGCCCCTAAAATTTTTTAAAAAATATTTATTCACTTTTGAGAGACAGAGACAGAGTGTGAATGGGGGAGGGGCAGAGAGAGAGGGAGACATAGAATCTGAAGCAGGCTCCAGACTACGAGCTGTCAGCACAGAGCCTGACGCTCAAACTCATGCACTGCAAGATCTTGACCTGAGCCAAAGTCAGACGCCCAACCGACTGAGCCACCCTGGTGCCCCTGTTCCGTTCATTTTTGTACTTGAAAGTTATGCTTATCCACAGAAATGATCAAGGTAAATATGCCAAATTACAGCTTTCATTTCAGTTATGACAGTGCAAGTAAACATTAATACCTACTCTTGATTTAGGTAAATGAATATTTTGTCTTGGACAGAAACACTCTGAAATACTCTGAAGACTTTGCACAGACAGAAACACTCTTAATATAAAAAGTAATATGTCCCCAGATTTTGGAGTGAGCAAATTGCTGAACAAATATTGCACCCAACTTATTTCAAATAATTATTGATGTAACTTTCATATTCTCAGCGGAAAAAAAAAAAGTAAGCAATTCACAGGAGGCCATATTCTAGTATGCAGTATTTCCAACGAAGGATTGAAGGTCATGTGGAATTTGGGAGGGGAAGGCGTCTTCATGGGGCACCTAGGTGGCTCAGTTGGTTGAGCGTTCAACTCTTGATTTTGGCTCAGATCATGATCTCACAGTTTTTGACATTGAGCCCCACGTCACCCTTTATGCTGACAGTTCAGAGCCTGCTTGGGATTCTCTCTCTCCTCTCTCTCTACCCCTCTTCTGTTTACACTCTCTTTCTCTCTCTCAAAATAAATAAATAAAATTTTTAAAAATATGAAGAAAAAGAAAAGCAGAGGCACCTGGGTGGCTCAGTGGGTTAAGTATCTGACTCTTGATTTCAGCTCAGGTCATGATCTCCAGCCTCATGTTAATGTCAAGTATTTATTATTTTTAGGGCCCTTGTATCTAAATTAATACTTTTATCAAATATCAATGAATGCTTTAGAGATATTTTTAAAATGTTTATTTGGTGGTATTTGATTAGAAGTTCACACACTATCCACTGTTTTTCTGGGTTTTTTGTTTTTGTTTTTTTTTTGTTTTGTTTTTTTACAAATAGTTTATTGTCAGGTTGGTTCTCCACTGTTTTTATCCTTTTCAGGTATGCAGTCTTGTGTGGCTATGTGTCTGAGTTTGAGGGCTTACAAAATAAAATCAACTATGGACATCGGTTCAAGGTATTTCTTGATATTAAAAATATTTTAATGTAGCTATATGTTCCATTAAAATGTATGAATCAAATTATTCGACAAATTATCTCTCAGGTGCCTCAGTCAGTTAAGTGTCCAACTCGATTTTGGCTCTGGTCATGGTCTCATGGTCATGGAATGGAGCCCCATGACCGGCTCCACACTGGAGCCTGTCAAATTCTTTCTCTCCCTCTATGCCTCCCCTGCTCATGCATGCGCGCTCTCTCTCTCTCTTTCTCTCTCAAAAAAAAGTTATAAAACAAACCCAAATTAATCTCAATCTCAAGGAATTTATCTTTTTAATTTTTATTTTATTTTTAAGTGTTTATATATTTATTTTGAGAGAAAGAAAGCATGTGCGAGAAAGGGAAAGGGACAGAACTAGAGGGAGAGAGAGAATCCCAAGCAGGCTCCACACTGCCAGCACAGAGCCCAATGCAGGGCTCAGTCCCACAAACCACAAGATCATGACCTGAGTCAAAATCAAGGGTCATATGCTTAACTCACTGAGCCACTCAGGTGCCCCTATCTTTTTTTCTTTAAATGAAGTGACACCCTATGAATAGTACCATGCCAAAAAAAATGAAACTATTTGGGTGATAGAAGATTATTATTCTAGATCTCGAAAGAACTCATTATAGTAGATGAGTATTATTTTTTCAAAGAAAGAATAAGTCTTTTGGTTATGAGCTCACCAACATCATAAACATGATTGGGACTAATTAGTTAACATTACTTGCATATTGATTTGGTGGGAGGACTAGAATCCAATCTAGGACTTAAACTTACCAGGATAAATGAATAAGATAAGTAATATACGTGTAAATCATTTATAATGTGTCTGTAGCTTTGATAGCTCAATAAATGAGCAAAGAAGTTTCTTCTTTGTTTTCCAGCTCCCTAACCCATTTTAATTATGTCAGGGGAATAGTTCCACCACCTAGTTCTGGTATTCTTTCTTCCATTGTATCCTAATCACTTGATATTTGTAAGCATGCTTCTAAATCAGTATTAGCTAGGCAAGTCATGGACAGACAGAAGTGTCACTTGGATGTTTCCTCCTTTTTATAGCGACATTTGGCTTTAAATTATCCATCGCTTCATTAAATCATCACCACAGTCTGGTCCTAGTTGTGAGCAATCATTTCTGATAATTGAATTATTGGTAAGACTTCTTATATTAATGATAGGGATTGAGGAGGGGGACCAAACAACACAGTAAAGCCCCTTTGAATTTAGGCACAGTCGCATTCAACACCACCTGAACCCTGAGAGATGGTATTTGTTTTGGATTTTCTTTTAGGAGCATCTGGATAAAGCAATCCAGTTTTTACCTGAAGAACCTTTTTTGTATTACCTCAAAGGAAGATACTGTTATACTGTAAGTTAAATGTTTTTATCCATAATTATTTCAATATGCTTGGATTACATGATATATTTTTAGTGACTTATTCTTTCTTTAATTGTCTTACCTGGTGCCTACTGTAGGGAAAATGATAAAATCAGCACATATTTTATGAATTTATGGTTGATTGATTTATATCCTATGTTACATACGGCATATGATTTTATATATATCTGTACTTTTCTACTTACCGCCTCTCCATTTCCCCTCACAACAACCACACTGCCCCCTCTGCACTCTCTCAGTTGATGATCAACCACCTATGTGCATGTGCCCTGTGTTGGTGTACTACTCTTTGTTTTGTGAGAGGACTTTTTCGTTTAACAGAGTGTATTGAGCATTTATGTGCCCACTGTTCTTGTCTTCAAAGAACTGAAGTTAGATAAGGACATGAAATATATAGAAATAAATAAAGGCAGCTGGTGAAGGCTAAGACCCAGTGTATTAGTTTATAGAAAATTAACATAATGTGAAAATATATCTTAAGAGATGCATGAAAAGTTATGCTTATGAGAAATGCTATTTCTGAATGAAAGATTTATATAAGCAAAGGAGGAGGCTTGCTAGTTGAGGTTTGAGGATTAGGAATGGAGAAGGAAGCTCTTTTATTGAACACCTGCTATGTATCAAATGTGCATCTTATGCTTTATATTTCTTACCTCCTTTAATTCTTAAAACAGCCCTGTAAGCAGTTTTTATTATGCCAGTTTTTGATATTAAGAATCTGAGTCTTCAAGAAGGTAGAAAACTCCTAAGGCTTAAAAATTATTGACCCAACCTCACATGAGTCTGGGACTTGAATGTACATTATTTGTTTAGGCTTAAGAAACCCAAAAAGAGGGGCACCTTGGTGGCTCAGTCAGTTGAGTATCTGACTTCAGCTCAGGTCATGATCTCATGGTTTGTGGGTTCGAGCCCCATGTCAGGCTCTGTGCTGACAGCTCAAAGCCTCGAACCTGCTTTGGATTCTGTGTCTCCTTTCTTAGCAGCCTGGATAAAATCTTAAAACCATAATAAGTGAAAAAAATAAGTCATAGGAAATAAACAACATGATATCATTTTTGAAGTAAAAAAAGTGAAAATAAACATAGCAATAAGTAACATTATGTAGGAAAGCGAGGGAATAATTCTGTTTGATAGACATTAACGGCTACTAGAAACCTAGAAGATGGTACTGGGAAGGAAAGCACTTGATGGGGTTGAGAGAGCATCAGTACCCTCTGAAGTATTCATTTCTAAACCCTTTTAATCTTTTATGATAAGCCTCTAATATTCATATTTGGGAAAAATGAAAAGTTTTTAAAAGGACGCAAAAAATACTATGCATCCCCTGTAGAAGAGGACTGATGCACACAACTTGCAAGCACTGTGCCCCTGCCCACATGCAGAGTGGCCAGCTGTCCCATCTTGGCAGTGGCTGCACATCACCTGTGGAAAAGAACCAGCCTCACCTGTTAAGGTGCACACCCAGCCCACTATGTTCAAGAGCAGGAGATATATCTGACTTTCCTAACGCAGAGAAACAGACATGGAGAGTTCGGCAAAATGAGGAGACAGAGGAATATGTCCCAAATGAAAGAACAGGACAAAAATCACAGCAAGAGACCCAAGGGAAACATAGATAAGTAATATGCCTGATAGAGAATTTAAAGTATTGATCATAAAGCTACTCACTGCACTTGAGAAAAGAGTGGAGGACATCAGCAACACAGAAATAATAAAGAACCAGTCAGAGATGAAGACTCAATAATTGAAATAACTGAAATAAAAAATTGAAAATTGCATAAATAGCAGGCTAGAAGAAGCAAAAGGATGAATCATTGATCAGGAGGACAGAGTAATGGAAAGTAATCAAGCTGAGCAAGTGAGAGAAAAGAAATTATGCAAAATGAGCATAGACTTAGGGAACTCAGTGACTCCATGAAATATAATATCATTCTAGGGATCCCAGAAGAAGAACAAGAGAAAAAAGGGGGCAGAATATTTGAAGAAATAATAGCTGAAAATTTCTTGAATTTGGAGAAGGAAACAGAAATTTAGATCCAGGAGGCATCGAGATCCCCCAACAAAATCAACCCAAGGAGGTCCACACCAAGACATATAGTAATTAAAATGGCAAAAAGCAGTGATAAAGAACTTTAAAAGCAGTAAGAGAAAATAAAACAGTTACCTACAAGGGAAACCCCATAAGGCTAGAGGTAGATTTTTCAACAGAAACTTTGCTGGCCAGAAAGGAGTGGCATGATGTATTCAAAGTGCTGAAAAGAAAAAAATCTACAGCCAAGAATGCCCTATCCAGCAAGACTATCATTTGGAATGGAAGGAAGGATAAAGAGTTTCCCAGACAAACAAAAGTTAAAGGAGTTCATGACCACTAAACCAGCCCTACAAGAAATGTTAAAGGGGACTCTGCAAGTGGAAAAGAAAGGCCATCAATAAGAGTAAGAAAGGTAGAAAGCACAAAAGCAATAAAAGTACATATATCTGTTAAAATCAGTCAAGGGACTCACTAAATAAAAAGAAATAAAGTATGACACCATATACCTAAAACTTGGAGGAATAAAGAATGGGTTCAAACTTAAGCAACCATCAACTTAAGATAGACTACTATATGCAGAAGAGGTTATATACAAACTGAATGGTAACCAGAAATAACAAAAAAAAAGTAATAAATGTGCAAAAAATAAAAATAAAGGAATCCAAGTATATCACTAAAGAAAGCCAACTTATGGTTAGAGAAGAGAGCAAGGGAAGAAAAAAGCAGAGAAGACCCACAAAAACAAACACAAAACAAATAACAAAATGGGAATATATACTTATCAGTAATTACTTTGAATGTAAATGGGCTACATGTCCCATCTGTCACCTGACATTGGGTGACAGAACAGATTAAAAAAACAAGACCCATCTATATGCTGCCTACAAGAAACTCACTTCAGACCTAAAGACACACGCAGATTGAAAGTGAGAGGATGGAGAAACATTTATCATGCAAATTGACGTGAAAAGAAAACCAGGGTAGAAACACTTATATCAGACAAAATTGACTTTTTAAAAATTAGTTTTTTTAATATTTATTTATTTTGAGAGAGAGAGAGAGAACCCAAGCAGGTTTTGCACTTTCAGTGCAGAGCCTGATGTTGGGCTTGGTCCCATGAACCATAAGAACATGACTTGAGCCAAAATCAAGAGTCAGTTGCTCAATCCACTCAGCTACCCAGGTGTTCCGAGACAAAATTGACTTTAAAACAAAGGCTGTAATAAGAAACAAAAAAGACACTATATAATCACTAAGGGATGTGTCCAACAAGAAGATATAACAATTATAAATACTTATGTACCCAACATGAAAGCACCCCAATATATAAAACAGTAACAAATATAAAAGCACCAATAGATAGTAATACAATAATAGTAGAGGATTTTAACACCCCATTTACATCAATAGACAGATCATATAAACAAAAAATCAATAAGGAACAGTGTCTCCGAATGACACATTGGACCAGATGGATCCAAGAGATATATTCAGAATATTCCATCCTAAACAACACAATACACATTTTTTTTTCAAATGCCCATGGAACATTCTCCAGAATAGATCACATGTGAGGCCACAAAACAAGTCTCAACAAATTCAAAAAGACTGAAGTCATGCCATGCATCTTTTCTGACCACTATGCTATGAGACTAGAAATCAACTACAAGAAAAAAAATCTGGGAAAAACACAAATACCTGGAGGTTAAATAACATGCTACTAAACAATGAATGAGTCAACCAAGAGATCAAAGAGGAAATAAAAAATACATGGAGGCAAATGAAAATAAAAATACAATAATCCAAAATCTTTGGAGTCCAGCAAAAGTAGTTTTAAGGGGGAAGTTTATAGCAATACAGGCCTACCTCAAGAAGCAAGAAAAATCTCAAACAACCTAATCTGATACCTAGAAGAGTATTTCTAGTCAGCTAGAAAAAGAAGAAACAAAACCCAAATCCAGCAGAAAGAAGGAAATAATAAAGATTAGAGAAGAAATAAAGATACAGAAAAGGAAGGGAAGGAAGGAAGGAGGGAGGGAGGGAGAGAGGGAGGGAAGAAAGGAAGGAGGGAAGGAAGGAAGGAATGAAGGAAGGAAGGAAGGAAGGACGGACGGACGGACGGACATATCAGTGAAACTGGAGCTGGTTCTTTAAAGAGATCAACAAAATTGATAAACCTCTAGCCAGATTCACCCCCCAAAAAAGGGGGGTAGGACTCAAATAGAAACAAAAGAGAAATAACTGACGCCACAAAAATATGAAGGATTATAAGATAATATTATAAAAAATTATATCCCAACAAACTGGACAACCTAGAAGAGATGGATAAAATCCTAAAAACATATAACCTAGCAAAGCTGAAACAGGAAGAAATGGATTTGAACAGATTGATTACCAGCAGTGAAATTGGATCAGTAATTTTAAAGCTCCCAACAATTAAGGTCCAGATGGTTTTGCAGGTGAATTCTACCATATATTTAAAGAACAGTTAATAGCTATTCTTCTCAAACTTTTCTTAAAAATAAAAGAGGAAGGAAAGCTTCCAAATTCATTCTAATAGGCCAGCATAACCTGATTCCAAAACCAGATAAAGACACAGTACAAAAAAGAATGACAGGCCAATATCTCAGATGAACATCGATGCAAAAATCCTCAACAAAATAATAGCAAGCCAAATCTAACAATATATTGAAAAAATCATTCACCATGATCAAGTGGGATTTATTTCTGGGATGCAAGAGTGGTTCATTGTTTGCAAATCAATCAATGTGATACATCATATTATTAAGAGAAAGGATAAAAACCATATGAGCATTTCAATAGATGCAGAAAAAGCATTTGACAGAGTAATCCATTTATGATAAATATGGTCAACGAAGTTAGTTTAGAGGAAACATACTTCAACATAATAAAGGCCTTATATGAAAAACAGCTGAGAGCTTTTCCCCTAACATCAGGAACAATGCAAAGATGTCCACTCAAACTACTTTTATTTAACATAGTACTGGAATTCCTAGCCACAGCAATCAGACAGAAAAACAAAAGGAATAAAAGGCACTCAAATTGGTAAGGAAGAAGTAAAACTTCCACTACTTGCAGTTGTGATGAATCCATATAGAAAATATAAAGACTTCATCAAAAAACTACTAGAACTGGTAAATGAATTCAGTCAGGTTACAGGATAAGAAATCCCCATGTACAGAGATCTGTTGCATTTCTAAAAGCAGCAGAAAGAAGTTAAGAAAACAAACCCATTTACTATTGCATCAAAAATAATAAAATGCCTAGGAATAAACTTAAAGAGGTGAGAGACCTGTACTCAGAAAACTATAAAACATTAATGAAAAAAATTGAAGACAATGCAAAGAAATGAGAAGACATTCCATAGTCATGTATTAGAAGAAAAATATTGTCAAAATGTCTATACTACCCAAAGCAATCTATGGATTTGATGCAATCCCTATCAAAATACCAACAGCATTTTTCACAGAACTAGAACAAGCATATCCTAAAATTTGTATGAAACCACAGAAGACCCTGATTAGCCAAAGGAATCTTGAAAAAGAAAAAGAAAACTGGCAGTATCACAATTCCAGACCTCAAGTTATATTACAAAGCTGTAGCAATCAAAACAGTATGGTACCAGCACAAAAATGGACACGTAATCAATAGAACAGAAGAGAAAGCCCAGAAGTAAACCCACAATTACATGGTTAACGAATCTTCAATGAAAGAAACAAGAATATGAAATGGGGGAAAAGACAGTCTCTCCAACAAATGGTGTTGAGAAAACTGGACAGCAACATGAAACCGGACCACTCTCTTTCACCATTCACAAACTCAAAATGGATTAAAGATCTAAATGTGAGCCCTGAAACCATAAAAATCCTAGAAGACAGCATAGACAGTGATTTCTCTGATACTGGCCATAACATCTTTCTAGATGTGTCTCCTGAGGCAAGGGAAACAGAAGCAAAAATAAAATGTTAGGACTACCTCAAAGTAAAAATTTTCTGCACAGCAAAGGAAACAACCAACAAAACTAAAAGACAACCTGCTGAATGGGAGAAGATGTGTGCGAATGACATATCTGATAAAGGGTTAGTATCCAAAATATATAAAGAACATATACAACTCAATACCCAAAAAACAAATAATCCCATTAAAAATGAGAAGACATGGACAGATATTTTTCCAAAGAAGATATATAGATAGACAACAGACACATGAAAAAGTGTTCAACATCACTCATCATCAGGGAAATGCAAATGAAAACCACAGTGAGATATCATGTCACATCTATATAACAAGTACTGGTGAGGATGTAGAGAAATAGGAACCCTTATGCACTGTTGGTGGGAATGCAAACTACTGCAGACACTGTGGAAGGTAGTATGGAGTTTCCTTGAAAAATTAAAAATAGAACTACCGTATGATCCAGTAATCACACTACGGGTATTTACCAAAGGATACAAAAATATTAATTCAGAGGGATGCATGCACCCCTATGTTTACTGCACCCTGTTTACAATAGCCAAATTATAGAAGCAACTGAAGTATCCATTGATACATGAATAGATAAAGAAGAAGTGGTATTTATACACAATGGAATATTATTCAGCCATAAAAAAGAGTGGAATCTTGCCATTCACAACATGATGGTACTAGCGGGTTTAACACTAAGTGAAATAAGTTAGAAAAGGACAAATATTTTATGACTTCACTCATATGTGGAATTCAAGAAACAAAACAAACAAGGCAAATAAAAAAAGAGACAAAGCAAAAAACACTTGACTAAGGGAACAGTTGGTTACCAGAAGGGAGGTGGTGGGTGGATGGGGGAAGTAGGTAAAGGGGATTAAGAGTACACTTATTTCCAGGCAGCTGGGTGGCTCAGTCGGTTAAGCGTCTGACTTCGGCTCAGGTCATGATCTCACGCTTTGTGGGTTCGAGCCCCGCATCAGGCTCTGTGCTGACAGCTCAGAGCCTGGAGCCTGCTTCAGATTCTGTGTCTCCCTCTCTCTCTGCCCCTCCCCTGCTCATGCTGTCTCTCTCTCTCTCAGAAATAAATTAAACATTAAAAATTAAAAAAAAAAAAAGAGTACACTTATTTTGTAGAGCACTGAATAATATATGAAAGTGTTGAATCACTATATTGTACACCAGAGGCTAATGTAACACTGTCTGTAAACTGTAATTAAAATAAAATGATGGGAGAAGGAAGCAACAAATAAATGATAATAGGACATTTAATTTTGGTGGTTATTGGTTAAAAACATTTTCTCCTGGATTATAAATATGTATACTGGGATGTCACTCTACACTCCGCCTGGGTCGAGGATCCTTGTTCTGTTTACATTTCTGTGATGCTGTGTCCTGGGTCAGGTTGGCAGCAGGGAGTAGGCAGGAAGAAAGAAATGGCGGGGTCTGGTAGCTCCTATACTCCATGCAAAGAAATACTTTATGGCCGTCTCAGAATCTTGAATCACATGAACAAATGGGATCAGCATTATTCCCCATCCCCACGCCTTACTCTCACTGAACACAAATCTCATCATGAGTATTTCAAATTGGTTTGGTAACCAGTACTTTTAGAGCTCATAGTTTGTTAGACTTATAAAAAAGGGAAGGTACAATATTAATATCACAAAAGTGATCTCTGTCATATATGTTATTTAGGAGTATGTTCATATTTATATATATTATATATATATACATACCTACACACACACACACACGTAACTGAAGAGAGACTCTAATTCAAAAAGTAAACAACTCTCTAAGAATGATGTTGCTCCGTATTTGCAGGTCTCGAAACTGAGCTGGATTGAGAAAAAAATGGCTGCTACTCTGTTTGGAAAAATGCCATCCTCAACTGTAGAAGAAGCTTTGCAAAATTTCCTCAAGGTATAGTTTGTCTATCCATTATGTTAGTATTGAACTGCCTATGACCTGCACTAGTCCCCCCTACCCTTCTTCATGTAGATCTCCACCAGAACCCCGGGATGGAGTCCTAATTTAAGCATGTCCAAACTGCTTCCCAGAGCAGCTAGGTATGCCCTAGGTCTTAGGCACACAGCCCTTACAACCAAATCCAAGAGCAACTCTCCAGGTCGTGTAAGTATGTGCAAAAAAAGCATTCATGCCCTCATTGTTAGACTTGATCCCAAATACTCGTAATGAGCCTAATATAGAACCAGTTTAATCTTAAAGAACTAAAAGATGCCAAAAGGGAAGTTATTTCAAAAGCCATTCTACAAGTTGAAGACAGTTCTCTAGAACATTCTTAGGGTAGCAGACCAAACCAGTATTTTCATTCCTGTCTTAAAATGTATAATTGCTATGCTAATAAAATTCTAAACAGTTCTATATATGTGTGCATAAAATCGACTTCCTTGTAGGCTAATCCCTTTATCTTTCTCTGGAACGAATTATAGAATCTTATAGAGACTAACATGTTTTATCTTTCCTCATCTACCTATTTCAGATTTGTAACAATATAGACACAATCAGACTCTGTATCTGTTGTCCATTTTGTACCTTCTCATATTTTTTTTGTTGTATCTTAGGGATCAGTTTTGTAGAACTGAGAGGGAATTTGGAGAACACATTCTAAGATCAAAATAGCTTTCATCGTACTTTCCATTTATGAATGAATGCTTAGTGCCTACCTACTATGCTTTGTGGAAAAAAATAAGTATTCTGAGCTTATGTACAAGAACACTCGTGGAAAAGATTACAGGGAATAAAAGTACAAGGGCTAGACATTTCTTATTTTTTATTTCACGTGATCTTTTTTGTTTTATGAAAAGGAAATCAAGGGGTGCTAGGTGGCTCAGTCAGTTGAGCATCCAACTCTTGATTCTGGCTCAGGTCGTGATCCCAGGATCATGGGATTGAGCCCCACAACGGGCTCTACACTGAGCATGGAGCCCTCTTAAGATTCTCATTCATTCTCTCTCTCTCTCTCTCTCTCTCTCTCTCTCTCTCTCTCCCCCCTTCTCCCTTACCTGTGGTCTCTCTCTCTCTCAAATAAAATTTAAATTAAATTAAAACTAAAAAAAAAAGGAAATCAAGACCTCAGGAACTTAATTTTTTCTAGCATCACGCAATGGCAGACCAAAGACATGAATGTAGTTTAAAACTGTATCCTTATTTCCTCACGTTTTATCTACCACTGATAATTAGTTATTTCATTTTAAACTCTGTAAGATTATAGATCTTCAAAGGGGCATCTGAGTAGCTTAGTTGGTCACCCGTCCACCTCTTGATTTCTGCTCAGGTCATGATCTCAGAGTAGTGGGATCAAGCCCCTAGTTTTGATCCGTGCTGTATGTAGAGCCTGCTTAGGATTCTCTCTCTTCCTCTCTCTCTGCCTCTTTCTTTCTCTCAAAATAATAAATAAACATTTTAAAAAAGAATATAGATCATGGGTATATTTAAGATAAAGGGTTCATAGAAGGTGCTAAGCTAATTAGGAAAAATGTTGTTTGGACTTGAAACACATTCTTCATAGTAGCAGTTATAAATGGGGGCTCAGATATTCAGGACATTGCCCAAAAATTCTTAAGGTGCTAATGTACCTGAAATATTACACAGATAAAATCAAAAGTGATCAGAGGCCCAGTGATGTAGAGGTAAGGATTGCAACCTCTGGAACCAGACCCCCTGGTTGAATCTCTGCTCTGCTGCTTACCGGCTGATTAACGTTGGACGAGTTTCTTAACCTTTCTCTCAAGTTAATCAATTACATGGAGATGATAGGACCTGACTCATAGTGTTGTTCTGAAGATTAAAGAAGTTAATACAAGTAAATTGCTTAGAGATTTCCTAGCTCCTAGGAAGTGCTTCATATCAGCTCAGAGAATTTTAATGTCATTAAAATGTAAACACCTTGGCAAACCATCTTGGGGACCTCCCCATTCCGTCATGACCGACATTCTGTCTGAAAAATGGTGGTGTTTGTTTAGAGACTGAGAAGGCATCAGGAACAACCCCCCCCCCCCACGCCTCCCTGTATCAACTGCAACATCTGAGGATATGGAGGAGCCCAAAGTGCTAAGGGCAAAGGCCAAGGTGGGGAAGTGAGAAATCTGGGTGGTGAGGGGAGAGAAGGAACTTGGATCCCACGTCCTAGGAGAGTCTGCAACCTCTGGTCCCAGCAAGAGGTCATGCTTTTGGACCCTGGACTGTAGGACTTGTGTCCCCAGCTCTGTCCCTCCAAAGAGGGCTCACAGGGGCTAGGAATGTGTCCCCAGACCATCCAGCTCAGTTCTGTAGAGATCTAGAGCGTTGGCTTTAGAATCAGACAGTTTGAGATCTGAGCCTTTCCCTGTCTGTGTGACTTGACCATGTTTCCCTCTTTCTTCTAATCTTAAATTCTTCATCTGTAAAGCAGATGAATATCTACTTTATATGATTTGTGTGAAAATTCATAAACTAATACATGTAATTTTCTTGGCCCAGGATCTAGCCCATTAACTACTCTAACTACAAGTAAGTAAATAACTTTGCTTTTTTAAAATTATTTTGCTCTTCTAACTGATGAAATCTGATCCTCTACAGCATCACAGCATCCAGGGAGGTGGTTTTAGACCAGGAGCCATCTGTGAATCCTGTGTGGGAATTCTTTCCAACTATAGCATGCCTCCCACCTCATCCAAAATTCTGGCATGATTCCCTCAGACAGTGGTTCTCAACCTTGGCTATACATTAGAATCATCTGGAGAGCTTTAAAAAATGCCAGCCTGGGGGTGCCTGAGGGGCTCAGTCAGGCGAGATTACAGCTTTTGATTTCAGCCCAGATCATGATTTCACTGTTCACGACTCACGTGGAGTCCATGCTGTCAGCACAGAGCCTGCTTGAGATTCTCTCTCTCCCTCTCTCTCTCTGCCCCTCCCCAACTTGCACTCTCTTTCTCTCTCTCTCTCTCTCAAATAATAAATGGGTGAACTTTGAAAAAAAAATGCGAGCCCAGACCATGACCCAGATTAATTATTTCAGAATCTTTGAATATATTAAGGTATAGGTTATATTCAATGAAATGCATCCATTTCAAGTGTACAGTTCATTGAAGCTTGACAAATTTATTTACTCACGTAACCACCACCATTTTAAGATTTAGAACATTTCTATCATTCTCAAAATTTCTCTTTGCCCTTTTGCTGTCAATTTCCCTCACCCCCTGCCCTAGGCAACCACTGATCTATTTTTCTGGGGTTTTTTTTAGCCTATTCTAAACTTTTATACACATGAAATCATAGAGCTGTACTTTGTGTGTATCTGGCTTCCTTTGCTCAGCATAATGTTTTGAGCTTCGTTCATTTCATTGGTGTATCTGTAGTTCCTTTTTACTGCCTTGTAATATTCTATTTTGTGGAGGTATACCACAGGCTGCTTATGCATTTGCCTATTCATGGACATTTGAGCTGTGTCCAGTTTGGGGCTATTATGAATAAAGCTTCAGTGAACATTCATATGCAACTTTTGTGTAGACATGTTTTAAATTTTCTTTGGGAAGTACCTGGGGATGGATTATTGGGTCATACGGAAAGTGTTTTCAAAGCTCGATCCATGTTTTTAAAGCTCTCAAAACTCTCCCTGTGCAGCCCATTGTGTGGTTGAGGGCCTGGAATGAGGGCTGGGGTGTGGGTAGTAGATAACAGGGGTGGCAGTGTTGGGGGATAAATGGACAGCCTTGATCTCATGCACTCTTTGCAACATATGATCTCTGGATCTCTCTTAGTGGTTTTACCACCTGCAGAGCCACCTTCTATGTCCTGATATGATGGAGGGCTGCTGCTTGAGTTTATGAGATGTTTTTAAAACAATGCTAGTTTATTCAGTAATGTTTATCAAGCACATACCTGGTACCATCGTGGCAAATGTAGGGAAGGCAGAAATGACCAACACAGCTCCTGTCTTCAGGGAACTGTACAGCCAAGACCAAGTAAACAACTACAATAGTCTCTGCCAGATAGGGTGTTCTAAGAGCCTAGCTAGGAACTACTCCTTAACTAGAACATTCTACTGAGCAACACTACCTTCCTTGTTATTTATTTAGGTGAGCTCTTTGGTTAAACATTAGAATCTGCTCCATTTAAGGAAGTTGGTGTTGTTAGTAGCCTATTTTCCTTTGGCTGCTGCTGCTTCTTTTTCTTCTTTTTTTTTAACCATGAGCACAAAAAGAGAGAGAGATGTTCTGATTTATAACCAGTATGGTTAATTAAACTTAAGTGCTAAGGTATATATGCAGGATTAAAATGCCAATATTAAGGAAATAAGCAATCGCTGTCAAGATAACATCAGCATTTTTCACAGAGCTAAAACAAGCAATCTTAAAATTTGTATGGAACCAGAAAAGACCCTGAATAGCTAAAGGAATCTTGAAAAAGAAAACCAAAGCTGAAAGCATCACAATTCCGGACTTCAAGCTGTATTACAAAGCTGTAGTCATCAAGACAGTATGGTACTGGCACAAAAACATACACTCAGATCAATGGAACAGAATAGAAAACCCAGAAATGGACCCAAAAACGGATGGCCAACTCATCTTTGACAAAGCAGGAAAGACTATCCAATGGAATAAAGACAGTCTCTTCAGCAAATGGTACTGGGAAAACTGGACAGCGACATGCAGAAAAATGAACCTGGACCACTTTCTTACACCATACACAAAATGCACTCAAAATGGATGAAAGACCTAAAAGTAAGACAGGAAGCCATCAAAATCCTAGAGGAGAAAACAGGCAAAAACCTCTTTGACCTCAGCAACAGCAACTTCTGACTCAATACTTCTCCGGAGGCAAGGGAAACAAATGCAAAAATGGACTATTGGGACCTCATCAAAATAAAAACTTCTACACAGTGAAGGAAACATTCAGCAAAACTAAAAGACAACTAATGGAATGGGAGAAGATATTTGCAAACGACACATCAGATCAAGGGTTAGTATCCAAAATCTATAAAGAACTTATCAAATTCAACACCCAAAAACCAAATAATCCAGTGAAGGAAGGAGCAAAAGACATGAATAGACACTTCTCCAAAGAAGACATCCAGATGGCTGACAGACACATGAGGAAATGCTCAACATCACTCATCATCAGGGAAATACAAATCAAACCACAATGAGATACCACTTCACACCTGTCAGAATTGCTAACATTAACAGGTCAGGCAACAACAGATGTTGGCCAGGATGCAGGGAAAGAGGATCTCTTTTGCACTGCTTTTGGGAATGCAAACTGGTACAACCACTCTGGAAAACAGTATGAAAGTTACTCAAAAAATTAAGAATAGAGCTACCCTATGACCCAGCAATTGCACTACTAGGTATTTATCCAAGGGATACAGGTATGCTGTTTTGAAGGGGCACGGGTACCCCAGTGTTTGTAGCAGTGCTATCAACAGTAGTCAAAATATGGGAAGAGCCCAAATGTCCATCAACGGATGAATGGACCAAGAAGATGTGGTATGTATATATACAATGGAATATTACTCAGCAATCAAAAAGAATGAAATCTTGCCATTTGTGACTACGTGGATAGAACTAGAGAATATTATGCTAAGCAAAATTAGTCAGAGAAAGGCAAATATTGTATGACTTCACTCATATGAGGAATTTAATATACAAAACGGATGAACATAAGGGAAGGGAAGCAAAAATAATATAAAAACAGGAGAGGGGACAAAACATAAAAGACTCTTAAATGTAGAGAACAAACAGAGGGTTGCTGGAGGGGCTGTGGGAGGGGGGATGGCCTAAGTGGGTAAGGGGCATTAAGGAATCTACTCCTGGAATCATTGTTGCACTATATGCCAACTGACTTGGATATGAATTTAAATTAATTAAAAAAGAAATCAGCTGCTTATGCTCATATGTTGAAGCAAGTTTTCTGGACAGGTTTTGGACAGAGCTGGGCAACTACTGGACCTAGAAGAAGGTGCAGTTGAACAAAGGTTAATCAAATTCTTCCTTTTAGAGAGACTTAAGAAATGCACTTAGTAGACTTGAAGAGTTGAGATGGAAATAATCGGGCAAGAGAGAAGCAGCAGAACCAGAATCCATCCATACCCTGGGTGGCTCTCTAGGCTTTTCAAGGCTCTGGCTAGGACTGAACTTGACAGTGTCCTCTCATCTGTTAGCAGCCTTGCTGTCTCACCAGCAAGTTCTTGGCAGATCCACACACTATTCATCTCCTCGGTCCTAAAGAGTAAACACCCAGTCTAGCTCCCCAGCCCAAGACACTTTATTCTAGGATCCTTTCCTTTCAGATTTTGTAGCGAGTATATGCCCTTTACCAAAGATGTGAACTCCTCAGCACCCTAAGTCTTAGATCCATCCAATGGTATCCATCTTCAAAACACATGTATCCTTTGACTCAGCGATTCAACTTCCTTAAATCTCTTCTACAGACATAATCACACATGTACACAAGTATACAGGAGGAAGTATGTTCATTGATCATTATTAGTAACAGTGAAAAAAATGTCTAAATGTATAATGGAGAATGCTTAATTTAACTATGGCATATGTGTAATAGGAAATACCCCTCTTAGGAACAGTGAGGTAGGTCTGTGTACCTACCTCAAAAATATGTCTTTGATATGTTGTGGGGAAAAAAGTTGTGGACCAATGGTTAGAAAAGGTCCCATATTCATTTTTCTCAAAAGTGAATTTTTTGTTTTTTACTTGTGTATGGTTGATAAAAGTTCTGGTACTGTTGATAGTGGTTACTCCTGGGAGATGAGATTGAAATTGAAAATAAAATCAGAACAAAGAAACTTTCACTTTTAATTTTGGAAATGTTTGTATCACTTGTATCTTGTAGAACAAGCATATCTTTGTAAATTTTTTAAAGTAACCTTCTTGGGTCGCCTGGAGAAGGTTAAGCATCCAACTCTTGGTTTCAGCTCAGGTTGTGATCTCACAGTTCGTGGGTTCGAGCTCCATTTTGGGCTCTACGCTGACAGCAGTATCATCCTCGACTCGTCTTCCAAAATAGATTATGAATTGAATAGGACTTGTCCTGGGAGGATGTATAACCAATTGTCTCTGTCCTTAAAAAAAAAAAAAAAAAAAAAAAGATAAGTTATACAAAGGAATCCTGAAATCTTAAAGTATCTCATTGTTTCATAAGCTTTATAAGTGTAATAATAATAATCTCATTTTAATGGATAATCTCAAAAGCTGTATTTCCACCATCCTTGAACTGATCAAATGATTCAGATGTAACACAACCAACCTAAATTTTTAGCACAATTTGGTTAGTATTTGATTTATTGAAATATATCCTCTTTACGGGTTGTGATAATATTGCCCCATTTATTCTTTTTTTCTGTTCTCTCTTAAAATCAGGTTGAAGAACTACACCCTGGTTTTTCTAAGTCCAATTACCTGTTCTTGGCCAAGGTAAGGAAGACCGCTGTTTTAAGATCACTTTGAATCCATTACATAAAAACGGGATTCCCCTTCATATTGTCTACTTCTCATTTGTAGTGTTATATCGATCTTGAACAAATGGATGATGCCATGAAGTTTTGTGGCTTGGCAGTATTGCTTCCTTGTGTCACCAAAGAGGTAAGTCCTAACAGTGACAGCGAAGGCTGTTATTCTCACCAGTCCTTTTGCAGCTCCAGATATGAAGTTAGACACTCAGAGGCATCTGGATTTTTCTTCCATACCAAAACATTTTGGATTTAATTTAGATTTAACACGTACTGTGAAGTTTTTAGAATTGCTGTGGGTCACCCTTCACCAGCAGACTCCCTGTATCTTTAAGGGACACACAAATCAAGGGCTAGCGGTTAAAATATCCTGGTGCTTGTTAAGCACAGACCACAAGAGGAGGGCCCATCTTCAGTCTCCAGCTCACAGTAGGGTATGGTTTTCCTCTACCGTGAAGATTAAAAATCATGTATTAACATTTTCTTGGCCTCTGAACACCTCCCGTTAACGAAGAAGAAACTATCATGTTGCTTCTTGCCCTTCTCTTCGCTAATTCAGGATGCTGGATGTGCTCTGGTTTAGGAATTTCTGAGTTAACTACCCAGTGTGTGTTGCCCTGAGCCGTCTATTGGTATTGCAGGGACAAAAGGAAATGCATCCATGTGTTCCGGCTCCCTTCTCACACCGCCAAACATTGTCATCCTCAGAATCGCAGCTAGAAGGAATGCCGCAGAAATGAGCACCCTTTTCTTCTCTGTCAGAGCAATACTGGCTCCCATGTGTGTTGTGATCTCAAATACAAACGCGTGAGGCATGCGCACAGCCCTCTGGGAGCTCACAGCCTGGGAGAGAATATGAGTCATATATCCAAGTAACTGTAGCCTAGGGTGAAAAGCCTGAAGTGCTAAGAGAGGTACAAATAATTGGTTATGGAAACAGTGAAGAGGGAGAAACTATTTTCACCTGGAAAAGATCAGGTAGCATCCGAGGTAGGCTTTGTAATTGTATGCAACGTGGAGGTGAGGGGGCAGCGCATCGCAGGTGATGAACACAGGCACCGCGGTGGAAAAGCAGAGAGTTGTTTGCTTGGAGGACGAGGGGCAGGGTTGTTCAGTCCTGGGAAATAAGGAGGAAAAGGGGAAGCGGATAAGACCTGCCAGGAACTTCAGGGTTCCGGGATGCCTGCGTCCTTAAACAGGGCTACTCGGGCCTCACTGGGCCTTTCCAGTAACCGCCCGTGCAAGGTCCTAGATGGCTTATGTCTGGAATTTCCTACAGGGTTGAGGGTCCTTCTAACTCCGATCCCTCGCTTGGTTCTGCTGGTTAAAAGGAGGTGCACGGCAGCCTCGGCTCAGGGGCGGCCCTATCTCCAGAAGACACTCTGTGCAATTGTTTTGGCAGAAAACGGATTCTCTCCCTCTGGTTGCTTGCTCCACGGTGGTGGGGGGGACGCTATTATCTTTTCCGTCGCTCCGCAGTGATGTCAGTTCCAGTTACATGCAGTCGTTTAAAACTGAGGGTCTGTGCATTCTTTTTAGAATTTGAGATTAGAATACAGTATGTCGTGAGGTATAATACCTGGTTTGACATGCAAATATTTGTGCATGAAATATAACAAGGGCTAAATATTGATGTCTCCCCCTCCACCCCCCCCGCCCCCCGCCAAGGTTTGGTCTTTGTCCCCTAAGTCTCTCCTCCCCCTCCCCCTCCTCTTCTCTCTCCCCTTTCCTCTCCCCCTTCCCCCTCACCTTTCCTTCTTCCTGCCCCAGAAACTTATAGTCCATGGCTTCAGATGCCATTTACCTGCCAGGGATCCTCAGTTCGTATCTCTAGCCCTCCCTTCTGAGCTCTAAGACCTGATTATCCAACTTCCTACCTGACCTCTGTCCCTAGATGTGTCGAAGACACCTCAGACTTCCCTCGTCATTGGGCCTTTGGAGCTACTCTTCTCCATCTTCCCCTCTAGTATTTGGCATGTCCATCCATCGGTTGGGAATCCTCTCCCTCAGCCCCCAATCCAGACATCCATCCACTCCCCCAGGTCTCAGTCTTCCTCTTCTAAAGCATGCCTTGAGCTACCCAGCTGCCCTCTCATTCGACTGCTACCACCAAGCAGGAAACCACCCGAGTTCACCGGACCGACGACGTGCGAGCCTCCCACTGGTCTCTGGGTTTCTTTCTCCCGCCAAGCCGTTCTTGACTCTCAGTGGCATCCAGAGGAATAGACCGCGTAAACCTCCATATGACACTTCTTACTTGAAACCCTTTGCTTTGGGGATAAAGCCCTAAATGTTTAGCATGTCCTTCAAGGCTTGGATCTCTGTTGCCCTCTCTCCCCACCTCTACACTATGCCCTTCCCTGCCTCACACCCTGGGGACCTCTTCTTGCCTCTTCCTGAAACACTCCCTCCCAAGCCCTCCACTCCCTTCCCCTGCTTGATTCCTACTCACCCTTCAGGCCCCACCATAAATGTCATTTCTTTAGGAGAGACTTCCTTGCCACTCCCAGGCAAGAAAGTTCCTCGTACTTTTCCTTCACATCATCCAGAATGGTTGTGGTTGTACAACTGTTTGTGTGATTGTTCCAGGAAAGTCGCGGCCAGGTGTGTTTCATTCACCCCTCTACTCCCAGGCCAACGACCATGCCTGGCATGTAATAAGCACCCATAAGTACTGGTAGGAAAAATCAGAAGTCTCATACCGTGCAAATAAAAAGAATAATGCTAATAGTGTTAATAAATAGGACTGGTAATAAATGTAACTAAGAAAGCTGGGCATTGTGGGAATATTTAGGTAATGGGCAACATAGCATTAGTAAATATTTCCCACGTTACACATTTTCCCAATGATGTTTCCATTTGTATTTTCTAGGAGGTTTTGTTTTGTTTTGTCTTGTCTCAAGTAGTAATGTAATGTCAAGAATATCCTAGTATTTTTTTCAATTAGAAAATAGGCCGAGGAGAGTTATTTGTAGTCCCCATCTCTGTAAGTTTTTCCGGACTGAAATATACCCCATTAGTGATTTTGCTGACAAGTCTGTTCATTTCCAAAATGTCTAGCGGAGCCACTAATAACAGCGAAGATAACCCAGCCATCAGTGAATCCCCTGCCTGACATACTTCCTTCTTTTCTGTGGTGCTTGTAACCTCTTCCTGGCATTGGAGTCATTTGTGACGTCTCCTGTCCCTTCCACAGAGCTCTAAGCTCCTTACACTGCACCTGACATTGGGACCGTCAGCCCTTGGGCTCTAGGGCCCAGAGTCCTACATGTGAGCAACTTTACTTCCCCAGAACTTGAAACTGCAGTATTTTATTATTCATGTGGCCTTTGCTTGACGCTAGGAAGGTAATCTCGGGTCCTAGGAAACAGTCTACTTTGAAACCAAAAAAGGATCCCTGTGTGTAAGGCAGTGTGAGAATGCTTGATGAATGAAATCATGACCTGGCAGCCTGGGAGTCGTTTGCCTGGACAAAGCATCCGAGTTACTGACCTGGGGCAGGGCTGAGAAAGTTGGGTGCCGAGAGCGTTAAGTAATCTTTTGTTTTACAGCAAGAGATGTGCTAATCTGGTAAAGACAAAAACTGTTTTAAAATTGTCGTAACATTTTGAAGTGACATTAATTGCTCTTCTAAGACCAACTCTTGTAGGACAGTAAATAATCTATACCAGAAACAGTGTCAGGAAGAGAAGGACTCCAGGAGTGCTCAGAGGAAAAGGATGCGGCTTCCTGGCTAACAAGTTGTGTGGTTGGCTTTCAAGTTACCCATTGTTTCAAATCCTGGACTGTATTTCCATCCTGTTCCACAAATAGACAATCATCCCTCTCATCAGTAATCACTCTTAGTAATAAAATCCTAATCCTACTTTTAATTTTCTATTCATTAAGACCTCATATTTGATTTCTTTTAATTAAGAGATTGGTTTTTCAGTTAAGTTTATAAAATATAGTTAGTCCACAGATTATTCAGCCTGCCTTCCATCTAAGGGAATGCTATAGCTCAGAGTGAGGAGTGGGTCAGTTACCAAAACCCAGCAATAATTGCCCACAGCCTCATTTGTTAGAAATTCTTATTTGCCTGCCTATGTCTGGTTTGAACTTACTTCTTATAGATTAACTCCTCTATGCTATCTGGGCCTGGAGAATTCATTCTTCCTGGTACATTTGAAAAGAAATTAGGGGTGCTTGAGTGGCTCAGTTGGTTAAGCATCCAACTTTGGCTCAGGTCATGATCCTCAGGGTTCATGGGTTCAAGCCCCATATCAGGCTCACTGCTATCAGCATGGAGCCTGCTTCGGATCCTTTCTCCCTCTCTCTCTGCCTCTCCCCTGCTTGTGCTCTCTCTCTCTCAAAAATAAATATTTTTTTTAAAAAGGAAATTCATAAGGCCACTGAGGAAGGGACAGACTTTCCCACTCTCTGAGGAGACATTTTCCTGAGTTACAGGCAGGGATTTTTATTCTGTTTACAGCCCCCTATGTCTGCTCTTTGGGTTCTAACCTTTTATTCATTGGCAGTCCAAAATACATTACTTGTTAAGCTTTCTTGATATAGAATGGGCTTGCTTGTATTTTTTAATTTGATCTTAAAAACACCTTAAAGAAGCTTTTTAGACCTCTTTTTTTAATGTTTATTTATTTTGAGAGAGAGAGAAAGACAGAATCCCATGCAAGCTCTGCATGTGGAGCCTGACACAGGGTTTTATCTCACTAACCGGGAGATCATGACCTGAGCCAAAATCAAGAGCTGAATGCTTAACCAGCTGAGCCACCCAAGTGTCACTCTTCGATCTCCTTTAATAATATTCTTAAAAATAACTGGTGACACAGCATCAGTCTGGGATCAGTCATTCTTACCCAGCACCCAGTCTAGTCAAGTTGGTGTTTGATAATCATTTACACACAAGCCAGGGGTATAACAATTTAATACAAGTATGTCTGTCTCTTATTTATCCAAAGCCTTTGGCAGAGAGTACTGATATATTTTCCCATATGTGCCTCTTTCTTATGGCACTTGTAATGTCTTCCTGGCATGATGGTTATTTGTGACATGTCTTCTATCCCTCCCAGGGAGCTCTAAGCTCATCACACTGCACTTGATATTGAGAATGTCAGCCCTTGGGCTCTAAGGCCTAGACTCATGCATGTGACCAACTTTGAATCCCTGGAATTTGAAACTACAGTGTTTTATGGAGAGAAGGGGTGCTGTCTTAGAAAAAAGGTTTGGATAGTTTGAATCTGGAGAAGAAAGGAATCACCTGAATTCAAAGCCATAACCTGAGTCCTTAGATGACATTTGAGCAAATGTGGCCAATATATCGAGTGCTTGAAACATAATGACGAAGGCCTCAGAATTACTCAGATGCCTGTGCAGTTGACAAGCTATGAGGAGAAGGCTTACATGGAGGGGAGTGTCACACCATGTGAGTGTAACTGGTGTGGCAAAGGCCTTGGTTGGAGGTCATCATTGAAGGATCAGCGCAGAATTCATATGTCGAAAAATGAATAGATGAATGGATGCAGGCAGACCTTTCACATCCTCTCCTGTCCCCCTCAGCGGCAGACATCTCACACTGTAGAGGAGCTCTTTGAGAATGAGGACACACCCACAGCTCAGCTGACTCAGCATGTGTTACCCAAAGAGAAACCCTAACAATGTAACGAATGTGGCAGACACTTCAGCCTGAGAGCTAACTTCTGTTCACTCCAGAGAATTCACACAGGAGGAAAACCCTTTGCTCATAACCAGAGTGGAAATGCCTCCAGCAATGACTCATCCTTTAAACAGCATGAGTGAATTCACATGGCAAAGAAACTATATGAATGTCATATAGGTAAAGCCCCTAGCTGATGTTCTAACCTTAGCCATCCTGAGAATTCACGCTGGAGAGAAACCCTATAAATGTAATGAATGGAGAAGAACCGTCAGCCTCAGCTTTAACCTTTATAGACACTAGCGTTCCCACAGGGGAGAGATCCCATCACCTTTAGCCAAAGCTCAAGCCTTCAAATGGGCAGAACACTGAGTAAACCAAGAAGGAAGGCACCAAGTCTTTACCAGGAGGAGGAAGGCATTTGGGAAATACTAAATGATTCATGTTAGAGAAGCAATTCAATGAAATGAATATGAGGAACCCTTTCCTCACAGAGCGATATCATAGGACACATGAGGATTCTCAGTGTATAAGACACTCTCGGTATCAGGATGGAAGGAAGATCATGATCACACATACCTTAGTCAGCCTTCAAATTCTCACCCGGGGGAGTCTCCCAGGCTTCAAGTCAAAGTAGAACTGCCTTTATCTAAAATTTATATAAGACACCTCATACTGGAAAACAAAACCATCAAGAACCCTTGAGAACACAATCCAGCCTATAATTTAGACTTTTGGCAAAGGACATATCACTGAAAATAAATGTAGTGTAAAGGTGTAGAACTGTGATGCATTCTTGAAAATGTTGAATGCAGAATTTGTAAGGTGTACAGCATACTTCTCAAAACTAGAACAAACTATCCTAAAATTTGTATGGAACCACAAAAGACCCCGAATAGCCAAAGTAATACTGAAAAATAAAACCAAAACGGGAGGTAATCACCATCCCAGACTTTAGCCTCTACTACAAAGCTGTCATCATCAAGACAGTATGGTATTGGCACAAAAACAGACACATAGACCAATGGAACAGAATTGAGAACTCAGAAATGGACCCAAAAATATACAGCCAACTAATCTTTGACAAAGCAGGAAAGAATATCCAATGGAAAAAAGACAGCCTTTTTAACAGATGGTGTTGGGAGAACTGGACAGCAACATGCAGAAGAATGAAACTAGATCATTTTCTCACACCATGCACAAAAATAAACTCAAAATGGATAAAGGACCTGAACGTGAGACAGGAAACAATCAACACCCTAGAGGAGAAAGCGGGAAACAACCTCCTTGACCTGCACCGCAGCAACTTCTTACTTGACACATCCCCAAAAGCAAGGGAATCAAGAGCAAAAATGAACTACTGGGACCTCATCAAGATTAAAAGCTTCTGCACAGCAAAGGAAACAACCCACAAAACTACTAGGCAACCGACAGAATGGGAAAAGATAGTTGCAAATGACATATCAGATAAAGGGTTAATATCCAGAATCTATAAGGAACTCACCAAACTCCACGCCCGAAAAACAAACAACCCAGTGAAGAAATGGGTAGAAGATATGAACAGACACTTCTCCAAAGAGGACATCCAGATGGCCACCAGACACATGAAATGATGCTCACCATCCCTCCTCATCAGAGAAATACAAATCAAAACCACACTGAGATACCACCTCACGCCAGTCAGAGTGGCTAAAATGAG